TCTAAAACAAACAAGAAAATGACCGGGACACAGAAACACCTAGAAAGTTCACAAAACACTTGGCCGCGCGCCGCACAGTTGGCGGTAGCTTCACGAGGATTTTTTTCACCTTTTTTTTTTTTGTTCTTTATATAATTCATAACTGTTTGACACCATGCAATGAATTTACAAAATAAATGGCAGCCTTTCAAGACGCAGTCTTCCAGGAAACCAGCGGATCAGTCGGTGAAAAGGAATCGATAAAGTATGACGGCCGGACAGAGCCAGCAGAGAAGTGAAACAGATCGGCGTCTGTTCGTCCTGCACCTCTCTAGAGAGGCGAGCGGTCCTGCAGCAAATGAGAATGTACTGTGTCTGGTCATCCTGAAACCATGTGCTCTGTCCTAACCCCCCCTCTCCTACCCTGCTGTGCTTGTCTCTAATGTGTGTGTACTGCCCTCCTGTGCTTGCAAAGAACATGTGCAATGAGGAAAAAGATTTCGTCCATGTTTAGATCTTTTGCCAGCAGACTGCACCCCCCAGTCTCCGCAGAGTTTGAGGGGAACCTGACTGGTCACACTCTCTCCACACATGCAGACCCACGTATACACAGACCGCCTGCTCGCTACTCCCCCCTTTTTTTAATACAAAAAGCAAACAGTTCATTTTGGTAAACATCTTTGTGCCCACGCTCTCTAACCCCAGACCCCTGCAGCAAACAACTGGGCCTTTTAGATCGACGTGTGCTGTCCTTTCCGTTTCTTTTTGTATGTGAAAACAAAAATGTCCTCTTATAGAACAGTGTTGGCACTACAGTCGGTACGAGCCTCCCTCGGGAGTCTCGCTGCAGTGTTGCTCGGCCTGCTGTTTGTGCTCTCGCAGTATTTACGGACCTGTCAAAGCGCAGCTCCTCAGCATGCTTGCAGGCCTCTCTGTGGGGGCTGCACCTGACGCAATGCTGATGATCTCTGCTGGGCTTGTGAGCTCTCTACAGGGCTGATGCACAAAGTCAGTGCTCAGCAAAGGCAGGTATACAATGTCCCAGTGCTCATGACGTCTGTGTTCTTCAATGTCAGGGCGATTTGAACTTTAGCGACAGGTTTTGTCTACACTGTTTGATGTCACAGACGCGCGCTCATGCGTCACCTGCGATTTTCTTCAAGCCTCGGAACAAGGTCTGCCAGCCCACCACTTGCAGAAGTCACTGCAATATCCAGTCCTCCCTGGAGAAGCAGCAGCAGAAGATTGTGTCGCCTGGAAACGCCGGGGCATCCTTCCTGCCTGGCGTGCTCCCTGCTTGCCCTGTTTCCAGGAATGTCAATGGCTTCGTTCCCAAGGAGTATCAGGCGATCATCCCCCTAAAACGGGACGTATCGAGATAGCTGCGCAACGTCTCCTATCACCCGGGCACGTCTGTGTTGGCGCAGAAGTGCCCCTGGGGTCCGGCGGAGGGACAGGAGAGCTCTCCGTGAAGCCCGTGCCCGTCCCTGGAGAGCTGGACGCAGGGAGAGGGCTCCCCCTGCAGGCTGGGTCAGGGAAGGGACACCTGACCCCTCTGGCAAGGCCCGCAAGGATGAGAGGGGAGGGAGAGAAGAGGGTGTCGGGTGAAAGAGAGGGAGCCGCGCCCTTCCCTCAGAAACCAGGG